TTTTTATGTCAAAATATGCATGTGTAAAATTTACAAAATAAATATCTTAATAGAAAAATTAAATACTGCAGTGTGGTAAAACACACATAGAAGATGGCTCAGACAGACTGCAAAGTTTAAAGTGCTCTGTTTTATGTCTGATCGTAAAAAGCCAAAATATCTCCAAATTACTGAAGTTGAATGACCTTTTCTGTCGACGATGTCATCATCCTTCGAGCTGGTCGTTGGCAGCACTACATTTGCTTCAGTGTCGCTCATTTCTCCACTCTAACTACAGTCCTGTCAGCCACCACCGTGTGGGTAAACAACACCAGGTTAGCTGCCCGCTGTCTGGAACACGCACGGGCACTCGCGCAGTATTTTGTGTGCATGCGCATATCATGCGCAAAGCATAAACACATATATATATCGAACATTTATTGTCCTTTTGTTAAAAATATACCAAGGAAAATTATATTGCGTTATTGAAAATTAATTATATATCGTTATTGAATTATCGCCCAGCACTAATAGGAACATATGTCAAGTACATTGTGGTGCAGTGATTACCGTTGCTGCCTTGTGGTGCTGGAGTCCGGGGTTCATTTCCTGTGGTGCTGTCTCCATGGAGTTTGCATGTTCTCCCCGCGTTTATGTGGATTTCCTCCAGGTGCTGCAGTTTTCCTCCCACAGTCTAAAGCATGCTGGTAGATTAATTGGTCCTGGTGTGAGCATGTGCGTCTCTGTGTTTCTGTCTGTCTCCGTCCGTGCCCGCGATTGACTGGCGTGCCATCCAGGGTAAATTCTGCCTTCAGTTCAATTTTTCCTGGAATAAGCTCCGGCCCACTGTGGCCCTGAATTGGATAAGCAGGCTTTAAAAGTAATGTGTTGATCATGTGCCATGTTTTATTTTAAGCTCATGAATATATTCTACGTTTCATTTTAATCCCCCTCACAAAATGCATTTTGTATCTAGGGTGAGAGTTTTCATCTATGTTGCTGCTTTTTAAAAGCTCGTCTTTATTTTGATTGAGTCATACACGCTTATTGAATTCATAGGATGCCCTAGTTTATGATTGCTAGTTGTTGTTGTGTTTCCACCTTATGCACAAGGGTGTTTTCACTCAATTTCTGTTGCTGTTGCTTCTGCTGCTTGTCCCTGAGAGAGTTTACTTGTGAGTGGTTTTGTAGATTCTAATAACTCAGCAGCAGTTATCGACATCCCCGCTTGTTCTTTGAACTAAAACAACATGGTATTTTTTATGCTTTTGTCCTTTTTTTTCCTCTGGAACACTAAGTAGACAGCTGGGTCATTAGATTCAAATAAGCCAGAGATTGTTCCCCCAAGGTATTGCTTTTTTATAGTGGAAGACAGAGCTAAGGTATGGAACAAGGCCAACTATCTGTGTTCAGTGATGATTTGCCCCTCTTAAGCTTTGTTTCACAACCTGATGTTTGTCTTTCAATCCACAAAACTAAAACTAAATCAAAATATTGGGATGGGAATGTACCTGGATTTTGTTTGGTTTGACATGCTTTGACTGAAAAGGCTTCCTTTAGATTCTTTAATTGAACTATGTTTGGAATGTTGCAGCTTGGTATCCCAATTGGCAATCTGGGAGCGTTGCAGGCTGGCCTCGACCCTACTGTGGCAGCACTAGGAGGAATCCCGGCACAACCCCCTTTGATGGGAAATGTGGACCCTTCTAAAATTGATGAGATCAGAAGAACTATTTATGTTGGCAACTTGAATTCTCAGGTAATTCCAAACCACAGTTGTGTCATTTAACCACATTGCAGTAAAAGTTGCAAACAGGTGACAATGTGTGCTTTAAATCACTTTTTTTCAAGTAGAACAATTAGGATTTCTTTCTCTACCTTTTAACATGTTGAAGCATAACTAGTACTATGCTGTGGAACCAAGCTAGTGTTTATTAGCTTGCAGAGTTGAGAATGCCGTTTCAGTCAAAACTACAATTTGAAAGGTTAGATTTTCTGAATATTTCCATCTATTGGTGGCATTTTCATGAATCTTTCGTGTTGTTAATGTCTTATTGTGGTGTCAGTAAGGCTAGCTGAAGGTGGTCAACTTTCTTTTTTTTCATAGTTACTGCCTTTTGAAAGACCAGTGTGGAAGGAAAGGGCCCAGGGTTTTGTCCTAAAACTCAATAAAACTTCACCTGAGCACTGCTGGGATTTGAAGGGGTGGAGAGAGGAGCTAGTGTTTCTCACATATGTGTAACCAGACAATGAGGTGGGGGCACAGGAGTTGGGAATAGCGCCTCACACTGCCAGGTTGTTAGATTCTCACTTCCAGTTTGCAGTGCTTCCAGCTAGTAAATATCTCTGTCATGTGTTTTTTTTTAATTTGAGGTAAGATCAGTAAACATCAAGTAATAAGGTGTTTAAAATGTCTGTAGTGTTATGTTTAGTGACGTTGCTGTAGAGTTGTTTAAGGTTTAAGTGTTTATTTGTTTTAAGGGCATAAAAAGTATTCTAGGGCTGTAGGTCATCCGAGAAGAATACTGAGCTCCTTGAGCTAAATGTGTTAAGCCACTAGGCTAAAAGTGTCTGTTTGTTGAGAGTTGAATGTGTTTTAATGTTCGGAATTGTTGTCGTTTTTAAACGTGTTGTAGTATTGTAAAAGTTTTAAGTGGGACAGGACAGCATGTACGAGGTGGGCCGTGAGATCCTTGTAACCAGCGTGCAGTACTCCCAACTTGTAAAGACCACTGGAGACCCTCCCCCGGTTTTGTAGAATTTTTTAGAAAAAGAAACTTTAAAAGGAGTCCCGTGTGGGTTCCTCCTCCGTGTGCTGCAGACTAGCTGCCAGTGGTGGGAGGGACCAGCTAGATGTCAGCACAGCCAGGCAGCATAGGGACTGGGACATGGATGCCACCAGGAAGTTGCTCGGTGCGGTTGATGGGAGTTGTAGTTATGAAGCCAACGCTCCATCTTGGAACGATCATAGCCAGTTTTTTATAGCTGGCTCCCCTTAAAACAAGGTTACACACGCTTCTTCAGAGGATGGCCTGTGAATGGGGCAGTCTCCGTGTAGGATTTAGAGTGCAGTGAAAAGCAGTCGGCTTCAAGGCTCCACTGCCTCTCTGGTTTCGCCAGAAACCTTTGGCTGTGCAGGTGGATCATGATGGGTCTCAATAACAACTGGCAATTTTATATGTGGGTATGAAAATGGAAAAAAAACGATAAGGGTTAAAATGAACAAGTAAAGTTTTATTCCATGCTAAAAAGAGAAGAAAGGAAATAACGTTTCACACCCAAAGAAGGCTCCACAGCCGGAACATTGTGTTTCCTTTCTTTTCTTTCCAGCATAGAATAAATCTTTTCTTGTTCCTCTGCAGCCTACGCATGCTGACGCAGCTCCCTACTTGAATTAAGGCATAAAATGTACAGTTGTATGCAAATGTTTGGGCACCTTGTGGGTAGATCTCAAACATGCAGTGCATGCAAGATGACCTAAGAATATTTCTAAACTAGAAGTGTTCTGCAAGGAAGAGTGGGGAAAAAATTCCTAACACAAGAATAGGATGCCTCTATTGGAGGCTGTGATTTCTGCCAAAGGGGGCGTTACTAAGTACTGACTGTTTTGACGTTTTCACATGCCACAGTTACTGTTTTATTTTTTTAATCCATTGAATTTAGCAAATAAATAGTAACTGTGCGTTACAATTTGCAGAAATATGTCAACTTTTAAGTTTGTTCACTGCAGAGATTGTGTCATCATTTTTTCAGTTAGAAAATCAACGAAACATGTAATTTGGCCAGGGGTGCCCAAACGTTTGCATACAACTGTATGGATTGGTTTTTGAACAATATGAATGTCAGTTTTCTCTGTTTGTTCAAGCTTATCTTTGTGTGATTTCTGAATGGTCAACATGGACATAGTAAAACATTCAATTTCTTTATGTGCAGACCACAACAGCTGAGCAGCTGCTGGAATACTTCAAGCAAGTTGGAGATGTGAAGTTTGTGCGCATGGCTGGGGACGAGACCCAGCCCACTCGCTTTGCCTTTGTGGAGTTTTCAGATCAGGAGTCTGTACCAAGAGCCCTGGCTTTCAATGGTGTCATGTTTGGAGACAGACCCTTAAAGTATGCCATTTAAATCAATCCTTGCTTATAAACAGCATTTCCTTATTGATTTTTTTTAAGAACAGCAGCAGTTCTTCCTTTTCTTCTCTTGGTTTGAATTTCAAGTAAATTTAGCAACTGCATTGATGAAATGACCACACAATCTGTTAAAGCAGGTCTTTCTTTAACGGAAGCCATTGTAATGCATGGTGAAGTTTGTTGTAAGAGGCTTAGTCAACCTAATTCCATGTTGCCATTCTTTTCCTCTAGAATAAACCACTCCAACAATGCCATTGTGAAGCCTCCAGAGCTCACACCTCAGGCTGCAGCCAAGGAGCTAGAGGATGTGATGAAGAGAGTGCGGGAGGCACAATCCTTTATATCTGCAGTTATTGAACCAGGTATACTCATGCTATCCTGTGCCATCAGGGCTCCTGTTTTCTCTCTCATCTGAATTAAATTGATGAGGAATTGTTCACCTCTATCATCTGAATTAAATTGATGAGGAATTTTTCACCTCAGGAATGGTATTTCATTGGTAAAGGAAATCTTTACACCTTTAGCAAGCATGAGGATTTCACCTTTAAATCCCATTCTTAAAGGGAAACTGCAGTCCCAGTTTCTCAGACTGGTCATAAATCTCGGTAACAAACGAATTAGTTGACAATTTAGAAAGTTTTGACAAATTGCAAATTAAGCGCAAAATAATGTGAAAGTGCTGGATGGTCACTATTGTTGTAACAAACCACTGGCCTCACTACAGGTGTTGGGGACAGTTTGCAATAATTGTGATATGAAGCAGCCCTTCCTGCTCACTAGTCACCGTAATGACTAATGTAATGCGATATACAAGCAAATACGTACAGGTTGTGCAGAAGACATTTTACCGCTGAAATATTCCGTCTGCATGCAGAGTTAAAAAGCAAGTAGTATTTGTCGGCAGAACCATCTCAAAGTCGACAGCAATATTTCTATTGAATTAAAAGAGATGTTCACTATCCCGCTTGTTTACAATGTAATTGAACCGCTTCATGCCTTGTTCTGAATCACAGAATAAGGTGCAGCACATACTTGGAAATTTCATCTGTTTTGTAATGTAAATTGGAGGTTTAGCAAGTTTGTGTACATTTTACTTTTATTGTGGTTTGAAATGCACTCATCAATGATGATTATTTCTGACACCCAAAATATAAAAATAGCATTGCAGTTCCCCTTTAACAGAACTCCATACAAATACATTGTTCAGTAATCCAAATGCAGTAAATAGTATCCACACTCCAGTGCATTGTGTTACAACACACTTGTTAATGGGAAATGTACTTCCCATTAACAAATGTACTTATTAATCTAGACATGCTGTTAAGCTTAACATGATGAATACATTTCAGGAAAAAAATACTCTTCTTTGAAGATGAATGACAATTGTTTTCTTAATTTCATGCTTACATAATAGGGGAATTGAAGTGATCTTTCACCTTGGTTCTTATTTCTTTTTTTAAATCAAATTATTAATCGGGGAAACCAGCATACCAAACTTTGAAACATAATTGGGTAGCTGTACCAGAAGACAAAAAAAGCTCTTCTGTAATGAAGAATGCTTCATAAAGGACATTTTACTTGGCACTTCAGGCTAAAAATTAGGTACAATATTACCAAGTGGCAGTGATGCCATGTTTAAAAACTGAATTGTGTGGTAAAGTTAATGGATTAATTTCAGCATATGACAAAGCATTTAGAGAAATGAAGGTGTTAACCCCAGTGGTTAAACTGCTTAATGTTCCTGCTTAATTGAATTGTTTGCAATAGTAGCTGGGTTTCACATAATAGCTACCAGTCTCCCAGGGGGGTGCTGCACTTCAGTGATGAATGGAGTGGGACCTCTGTTACATGTATAGTACTCAGAGATCCTTTGGGTTGAAATGTTTGTGTAATTACAAGACATTTTTTTCAATATCTTGCTAATGTAGGTAGGTGCTTAGAATGTTTAAAGATGTAGGTGTTAAGACTTAAGTTCTTGGGGTGAAGATAAAAGAGCCAGTAGTTTTTGTTTTCTGGTTTGGAAGTTCATTTATGTTGAATACAACACATCAGTGAACACTCAGTATTAAAGAGATGCGGTTTGCTCAGTCAGAATCAAGTCTGCCAACACTGCTCTCCAGTCACAGTTCCCTCTGCTGTCCTGCTTCTCAAATGTGAACGAAAGTGTTTGTTTTTTCCGTTCTTATGAAAATGTGAAACAAATAGGTTTTTAAAGAGTTTCAAATTAGTTCTAGTAATATTTGGTGTCTCCCAGTAATGAGTACATTCATATTAATTTATCTGCCTTTTTTGTTTAATATATTTTACAAAATTTGATAAAAATACAAGACAGGGCTGACTCAACTACCAAGACTAAAACTGATGACTTTTAAGTTGGTGTGTTATGTAAAAATATGTACTAATTATACTTATGACTGTGCTGCCAACCGAACTTAGAAAGGTATGGATTTTCAGATAATCAGAGGTATTGTATATATGAAAATTTGGAAATAATGCCCGTAGCATGCAGTAGAACTGCCTTACAATGGAAAAACCTAGCACTTTACACATGTAATTGGTTTGTAAAACAATTTTTACACTAACACTTGTGTAATTTAGAATATTTACTGTTGAAATGATTTAGAGGAAAATTGAAAATTTGAAATGAATTATTATTTCCAGTGATGATGACACTCAACAATTCCAGTAACTGATTTGGTGACTTTGAGCAGCATATAGGGAGGTCACAACACCCTTTTAAGTGTTCTTTTTCTTCTGGCAAGGCTTGTATTTAATTGACTTAAGTTCCTTCCCATATTTGATTTATATCCCATTCCCTGAACTTGAACCGCACAGCAGTGTAAATTACTATTGAGAATGCAGCTGTTTTAATTTCAGTGCTTTTTCCACTGAAAAACTTGGATGCATTTTTGTGGGAGAGGTTTCTTCTCATTTATACTCATGAGGGTCGTTTCTTTGGCAGCAATATAGCAAACAGGGGAAGTGAGAGCCAACACCAGTGTTTTAAGCTATTCTCCTTGGCTTCCTTTTAAGCAGTTTTCTATATTTCTATTCTGTTTTGAAATAGAATCAGCTGGAATTTGTGTTTGATTTTAAGCAGAATCTGGGAAAAGCAGTTCCACCGGTAGCAAAAAAGCTGCCAAATCTCGAACCAGATCCCGGTCTCATTCTCGATCTAGAAGGAAGAGATCTCGGTCCAGGCACAGGTAAATGAAATGGAAGTTAATTGAGACAGTCTCTTATGTGTTTTTGATATATAAGTATTCAGAACCTGTTAAGCCAGGTGGTTTAGGTAAATTTTTCTAAACCAGCATGACTCTTAAATGCTATCTCCTAAGAAGTTTGATGTGCAGGATAGCCATTACGGTTGTTGAAAAGACTGACTTCCACAGTTTGTTCCATATTGAGATTTTTTTTCTTCAGGACTGTTTTTCTCCAGTTAAATTTTCTCATTTTCCTCGCTTTGGAGTAGAGCGTCCAGGAGATCCCGATCCAAAGTCCGCGAATCTCACGGCTCTTGGAGTTCCCACAAAAAGCATTCTCGCTCCAGAGAAAGAAGGCACTCCAGAAGTCGATCCAGGTCTCGGTGAGTTATAGATTTTCAACAGCAATTGAGAATATTCAGTGGATTGTCAATGGCAGTGATTTATCTAATTGCTCCTGTAGGGCTAAAGTGATTTGCTTGCTGTTTTGTCTTTGTAGAAAGCCTTTTAATTTTCCTTACCTTTTAAACACTGTGTAATAAGTGTTAATATTATTTGTATTTACCTTTGTATGTCCTTGTCATTGTGTTGTCTCTTTTTGGATGATTGTCTGCCTTGAACCTAAAGTAACTGGTAAAGTCATTATGGGATCTGCGCTCTCTGGCTAGTGTTCTGGGTTATGTGAGGTTTTGTACTGTATAGTCTGGTCATGGTGGACTAAGATGTTTAGGTCTCAAAGTAATGAGCTTCTTCCCAGATATTCTTTTTTTCTCTGGTTCAGTAAAGGCTCATAATCTCAAAGGAACTGACCTAATTCCTTTGTTTTCTTTTGCCATACCTTTGAAATGTTTTCTTTTGTCTGGTAACTTTGCCTAAACTGGGCAAAATACATTCTTTCTGTGATTAATGCATGATATCTGGATAACAGGAAAATTGAAAACTTTTTTAAGTGAATTATTTGCAGTGACACTCAGATTCCAGTAACTGTGATGTGAAAATGATACCTAGAAAATCTGAGCAAAAGCAAGCCGCAATCAGCACCAGTTTGTGTGAAATAATGACATCCATATAAGCTGATATTCTAAAGGAAAATGCAGTACTTTTGTACAGTAAAGATTGTACCATATGTTTTGTTATATAGGTATTTGACATTTTTGTATATTGAATGCATGTGTATGTAGAATTATGTGGTGCCGTGGGCTCATCAACAAAACACTGATGATGGAAGGTTCCCACTTGAAAGGTCACAAGCCCCCACTCAAGACTCAACATTATGGAAAGAACCAGTGAAGTGCTCATATTCTCTTAGGGATTGTACAATCACGTCCTTTTTGTATAAGTACGTGTAATTCATAGTGCCAGTATTAATATAACTTATCATGATCGCTATGCCCAGTTCCCACATCTCATTTCGTAAGATACAGTACCTACCTGAGACATCTGTGTTCTGCTTGGTTTAAAATGCATAGGACTGCAATGTGATTCCATTATTTTTTTATATAATGAACTTTTGAGAGTCTCTACATTTTTTGTGAGTCGTGGTTGCCCGTCGCAAAGAAGTGTGATATCTTTAATCCTGACTATATCCCTGTCACAGAGTTTACCAGGACGTTGTCTGATCAGCTCTCATTTTGCCTTCAGTGAAAGAAAGAAGGAGAAGGAAAGCAAATCAAAAGGCAAAGAGGAGAGCTCAAAAGACAAAGAGGAGAGGAGACAAAAAGACAAGAAGGGGAAGACTCCGCCGAAGAGCTACACCTCGTCTCGAAGATCGCGAAGTCCTAGCAGGTCAGCTCAGTGCACATGTAAAACTAAAGAATTGTCCTAATGTGAGTATCCCAATAAAGTAATGTTTAAAACAGCAGTCTGTATGGAGCAGGGGTACTCAGCTGTGGTATTCCACTGCATTGCAAGTCTTACCGTAAGATCATCTTCCGCAATTCAATTAATTCAGGAATTAGTTTATTAGAAAGTTGAAAATGCTGTGATGGCATGGAAGTGAAGATCCCAGGGTAGCCTACCACTGATTTAGAGTAACACTGTCTCGAATTAATTAAATGCCCCCAAAGGATTCTGGGCACCATCTTGGAAGAAGTATATTAACTAATGTTTTGACAATCCTATAACCGTTGGTTTTCTGTTTTCTGTTAACAGAACCCACAGAAAGAGGAGTAGAAGTCGGTCTAAATCCTTGAAGAGATCCAGGACACCTAAAAGGAAAGTAAAATCTCCTTCTCCAAGGAGGTAAGGACTATCTTTTATTTTGTTACTTAATCTCACACAAAACTGTTTAAAGCAGACAATCCGGTACTGACACCAGTTGTTACAAGTAGGAGGTTAGGAAAATGGAGAAAATTAGGAAATTGACAGAGCGGCTTGGTCAATAACTAAAATAATCATAACCTCCAACTTTTAAGTATTACTCCAAGAATGCACCAGAGCACTTGAAATAATTAAACGCACATAAATTTGTTATTCTCTGGCACAGATGTGATGAAAAGAGCAATAATTCAGACACACTTAATTAAACAAATATTCAGCACAGGTTTGCAGACCACCCAGAAAACCTCCGACCGCTACCAAGTATTTGACTCTCAAATTGAGCCAACAGATAAATAAATAAAAGAAGAAGCTGCCTTCTACACTAAATGCAATACAACATGCAGTTAAATCTCTCTCTTTCTGAAAACCCAGATGCCACAAAATAAATCTCTCATGTATTGTACCCACCAAGCAGGAAAAGCTGTCTTAACCCAGACACAGGAAACTCAGGAAATCTAAGTTCCCAAAAAACACTATAGCAAGTTCTCTTTAGCAAGGTTCGAATACTTAGTTCCAGTCAGGTCTCTTCAGATGAACTCAAATAAGGAACTCTGGCCCAAGCTTCAAGTTCCTTCTCCTCTCTCATAGTCTGACTTTCCCCCCCCCCCCTTTTTGTCTTGGTCTGATCTTATATGGTGTCATCCTGGACTGTTGAATGACACTTAATCATTTGCTTAGAACTTAATTAACTAAGGTAGACCAAGGCAAAATGTGTAATTGCCTTGATCCCAGTATATGCCCCCCTACATCTCTGCACACACTTGTCGTTTAGAGACACTTCTTAGTTGTTTATAGCTGTAACAATAATAGCAAAAGTGCTTTTATATAAAATGTATTAAATAGTGTCAGGCTTTATAGTAACTGTATGATCTGTGAAAAATCATTTTGATTGTAATGTTAATTAAGCCTTTTTTAATTGTTCTATACTTGTACATGGTATGTTTAGCTCTGAAATATTTTTTAATACTTGGTGACACTTGAAATCAAGTAATACAATAAAATGCATACATTTGATTATTAACTTCAGCTTTGCAAGCATATTTTCTCTCTATATTCGCTGCCTTAAGCACCATGATAAAATAAACTGATGATACATCTTGTATGCAAATGAAAAGGCTGCCATTCTTTGCCATCTGCTGTAGTTGCTAAGTTAATCGCAGTTTTGTTTAAAGGCAATATTACATTTTAATGTAAATATTGCATTAAATGCCTCCAAATGTGAAGGGGTTTGATGCCTGGGCTAACTTTAATAGGGGATGACTGTTAGTATTCTGTATCATGATGCTTTAGAATGATTTTCTGGAAATTAATGTTTCATGTGCTGTGTGTATGTCAATCTGGATCATTATAATGCAATTATATAAAAATAGTAATAGTAAACATTAACATCTACATTTTACAAAGTTAAATCAACCATTTCCCAAACCTACTTTGACCCAATAATTTTGGAGATGTTCAAGTAGTTACTATGATGCTAATATTATATCTATATAAAAGTAAGACGAGCATGCAGTCTAGGTGGGTCACAATTATGAACAAAAGAATACATTTGTTACTCATTAAAAATAGTTTTAAAGGCAAGAAGTTTATCATATGCAGAACCATTCACTGATCAGCTAAAAGTTCATAAAAGTGAATAGATTTTTTTTCCCGGATTGTGATTATAAAAATAGGCAGAAAATTGAGAACCTCACTCTTCCCTTTCCTAGAAAATGCAGTGAGCAGATTTGGTCAAATTGAATCTTGTGTTCCAGGAACTCTAGCAGAAGAGCTGTATCACTGTAACTATCTGATGACCTTGATGTGTTGTCTAAATCATAGTAAATTATTGCCCATTGGTGTTCCCACTATATTTTATAGGTCTCTTTTTTTTAGAATCTAAAAGGTTTAGTACTGTAAAGTTAATAGATAGTTGCTTTCAAGTTATTTTCTTGTCTGTTTTGTTATCCTCTCTCTTTAGCTGTGACATTGAAAAACTTGAAAAAGTTATCTATGTATCTCATCATTTTAGGCTGGCAGGTTTTCTGTCTGGTCTTTTGGTACAGATCCAGAAATCTTACCAAATGGTGATGAAGTTAAATAGTAAAAAGGCTTGGAGTAAACATAAATTGTCAGTAATAATTTCACTGATACACACATATATATACGTGATCTGAGAACTCGGTTGTTTCAATATAAAATTATCAATAACTTCGTTATCGTGGAGTATCTGACATACCTCTCCCAAATGTTGAGTAGTATATCCATCCATGACAATAACCAATTCTACCACTACATTTTGGAAAACACCACTGGCATGTTTCTAATTAAATTATTCTGCTATAGCTGGGTGATTCCACTGTTTTTGCTATACCTCGGACACTACAGTTCTGTACCTCGTACTCCACCAGGTGCAATCATATTTGGTGGAAAAAGTTCAAAATACTTGTTTGTCTGATGTTTGTCTTTTGACACTGTTATCCTGTGGAATGAAAAGCCATTGATAAGGTGCTCACAGATATCTAATGAAATCAGAATAGTCACAGGTGTCACTATTCCACTGTTCTGTAGAATCTGTAGCATCCGCTGAACTTAACCGCAATTAGAACTTGGCGAACGCAAGCCGATGTTTAACAATAGCTGAGTCGGATTAGCCAGCTTGGCTATAATTGGAAAAATCCAGTGGGAACAGGACACCAATGTCTTACCACATTGCTTTACAGAAGTAAGAAAGACAAGAAGAAGGAGAGGGTCAGGGAACGGAGCAGGGAAAGAGGTGAAAGGGAAAGGTCAACATCCAAGAAGAAGCCCAGCAAAGACAAAGAAAAACAGGAGAAAGCTGTCACGCCCATCAAGGTAAGGAGCTGTGATGTTTATAAAAATGGAGTATTCATTAGTAATCTAGCAACTTGTAATCCTCATACTCAAGTTCACAAACTGGTCAAATTAAAGTTCTTTCATCTTCTGTCATTAATTCACCGTAGTAGCCCCCTGTTGGCTTGGGGCTCCAGCGAGATTACATATGCATTTCACATTCCTGATGCAAGGCTCAGCTAAAATCGTTTCACCTTATCAGACTGCAGCTCTGTTGAGCGTATGTCCTCTGGGACTGCATATGTTCTCATTCCAGTTTGTATTTACTGGAGGAAACTACAGACCTAAAGTATTGTGTTTGTTTCAGATTTTAAGGTTTCATGATTTGATTAAATGACTATGAAGTCATATCAGCTGTATTTTCTAGATCTTACTTGTGCTAATTTAAAGATATCTCTAAAATTTGCGGGAACCTGGCATGTAAGTACTGGAGTTGCCGTCCCCCTGCAATACGCAGTGCTTTTATCACAGTGGATCTGTTCCATTATTCCTAGTCATGGAAATTCATCTCAGACTCATTCTTTATGGAGTTTATTATTATGCTAATTAATATTTTAAATTGTAACAATGCGTTTTGATCAAAGCTGAAAGCTGTAGGCTAACTATTGTAATTATGTGCGACATGTTTTTATCTGACCTTATGTTCAGCGTGAAGTCCTAATCTCATTTCTCAAGTTCTCACTTTTGGTATTTTTTTTCATATAAAAGCAATTTATCAGTTAGATCTCCTTTTAGATTAAAAGTGTTATCGCATGTTGCCAATGCAAGTGTGGCCTGGCTTGACAGAAGTGTCTTCTCCCGCAGACAGAAGCAGCTCTGCTGGAATTCCCCGCTCTCATTTCTCAGCATCGGGGGCAAGACTTTAAACGTGATGTCGGAGGGGATAGTCTGTCTAAATGGGGAATTCACAAAATCCTTCGCCTCACCAAAAATATCTTATAACTGTTTTGAGCTTTTCTTGATGTAAAAGATCAAAAGTTATGAGATCTCAGATTGTGTTTCAAACGTGATATGGACTGTTCATAAAGCAGGGGGGGTCATCACTTGTGTCACTTTATACTCTTCACAGAGGAAGGAGAGTAGACATCTAAATAATTGACTTGATTCCAATGAGTACAGTCACTCCATTATTATTGCTGCTTTCCTATGGAATGTTCATCTAATTGCTCAACGTGAACTCTTCTGTTTTAGGTGGACAAACATTCGGATAAGGAAGAAAAGGAATATGAAGGTGGCAAGGACAGCATCAAGGCGAGGAGTGGCGACCAGGCAAAGATACAGCACAATGGCAGCTATAGTAAACATGAAGGAAACCCTCCAGTCAAAACAGAAGCAGCAGAGTAAAGGCGAGGACTATGGTATCGGGACAAGGCAGAATGGCTGGGATTTCAGCCAGGTCTAGTTTGGAAGCAAAATAATCCAGAGGCCAGAGAACGAAGTCAGCCACTTCCGAAAGAATTCCTGGCGGAAGCCTGTAATGTCAAGTCCTGAAATAAGATGGTATATAAAATTCTGTGTTTTGTATAACTGATATTCTTTAAAAAAAAACCATAGCATAATTTTTTTAGTACTGTGAATCTATGTATCATATGATATTCATATGGAAGATGCACATTAACATTGACAGTTTTTGCTAATTTCGTAGAACTGTAAAAGTTATAAAAAAAACTTCGGTAAGAATTTAGCTTGTCTACTTAAAAGGTGTACTTTAGTGCTGCGTAGTTCTTTTTGCAAATTAGATTTGTACTGCCATTTTATACTTTTGTTTAAGTAATCGTTTTGAATTTTTGTTCTAAGGTCGACGATTGGTTCCCACTCAACACTTTCTTTTTCGTGTTGCTTCTGACTATGGCCTAACTGGAAATTTAATTGTTTTAAACTTTTTAATTAGAACCACTGAATTGTGTGTAATGGAAGTATTACATTTTTGCAGTTTGACTAAAGCCACTTCATCCCGTAAAATATCCTGATATAGTTTGATATTGACACTAGAAAATAATGCCTTAAAATGGCATCAGTCTACACAATTTCTTTGTGGTTTTATGTTAATGCAAAACGTGTACAAAGCAAGACCTAATCTCTGTATTTTCTCAAGTACTTCAAATGTGAAAAGTGCCTAGACTGCAATTATAACATACAAGCCCAGGCATTTTATTACGTAACATTGTAAGGCGATTTTTCCTTTGATAAGATGTAAAAAGCTGGTTATCCTTTATCTGCAGTATAGAAATCACCTGATGCTACGAGAACAAAGAGTGAATGAAAGGTATTAAATGGCTGTTTTAATGATGCATAATTCTCCTTTATTGGTACAGTTCACAACAGGAAATTTGGACAGTAGTGATCGTGTCTTTGTGCTTTGACAACAGTGTTGGTAAAGTTTCAGCTATAGTGTGCTATTGAATTGAAATTCAGCTCTGTCAGGCACAATTTCCACAGACCCACCAGGATTAGTCAATGTTTGAGTCAAGAATTGGGGTTTATTTATTTTTACATTTCAGACATTAAAACTGTGGTCACATTTCAAATAAAATGTTAATATACTTCCCCTTGCCTTTCACTGGTTCCGTATACACCCAGTTAGAAAACGTTAGACTTGACTGTTTACCTAACTTGCTGAACTGTACCAGTTCGTTCTTTTAAGACGAATCCTGGTGATTTTCACATTTATATCAAACACTTTCAGTTTTATCACAGTGGGGAAAAACGATTTTCATACTAATCAAATACCTGTCTGCATGAAAAATTAAGAACTGGTGAAGAAAAACAGCAGGGTAAATGATAATGAGCAACATGGGAGTTAGGCCTATGACATTGGCTCAATCATATAATTTACATAGGATTTATGTAGATCATTTCTTTGTCATGTTTCACAAAATATTCTTTGTAAAAAATTATTTTTATATGTATTTAAAATATGCCAGTTTGTATGGTTAGCTGGTTTGGGATTTTTGAGTTGGGTTTGTACTTAATTGTGTAGATATTTTAAAAAGTTATCTCAAAGGTCTCAAAGTTTCCAGTGGTGAATTGACCATTTTCTCTTTAAGCTTTCTAAATATTATTTCAACATTTCTCGTTTCAACTGTTAGACATACAGTTCACAGCCTATCAATTAAAAATATACACAACTTTTCAAGCATGTTAATTGCTAAAAAGTTTTTTTTACTAACTAACCCCAAAAATATCTGATGTCTAATGTCAATTTAAACCAAATTAGTCCTTCATGCAGTGTTTAATAAATGGCATGTGAATGTCTTAATGTTTTAATCCTGCAGTTATATTATTACATTAGCCCACTGCCTGACATGTATAAATGTCACAGGATTTGAAGTGTTATTCTATATTGGCTATTAAAGAAACAGTGTATTCAATACAGCTACACCTAAATTAATTCCATAAATCTGCGAGTGCTGATCTGCTCTGCCATAATTTGTTAGATGCCACATGCAAGATGTAAAATAAGTCACCAGGCAAATGAGTTCAAAATGCATAGTGATGTATTCATACTCTTAATGACCCACAGTCGTTTTCGGCAACACCAACAGAAAAAAAAAAATGAAGAATTTAAACTAGACCAAAGTGGAAATTTTAGAAGATTTTCAGTTTTAAGTGATCGATACCTGAAACAAATGTTTTAAAGGTGAACTTTGGAAAGAGTGGCATGTTGCCAAAAGTTAAAAATCAGTGGTTACTCAACAAATCTGGGGCCCTGATAGAAGGTGTTGGAAAGGAGTGTCTAGTTTGTCCTGAATGTGTTTAATTTTCTAGTAAATTTTGGAATTTTAGTAATGTGTGCTCAACTTTAAACTATCTTTAAATTGGTCCAATGCAGATTTTCAAAACTGTAACAACATTAAAGAGGCATTGATTACAATTTTAAAAGCGGTGTGATTTTTAATTATCAAAAAAATGTTACAGAAGTTTGATCCTCCACTTTTTTTGTTCTGGCAGATGTTTGTGTATTGCTTTGGTAACCAAATTAGATGTCTAGCTGAAGGCAATTAACTCGCAGCAGTTGCTAGAACTTCCACACGTCTTTAATTTTTTTTTGTCCTGAATCTAAGAGGACCCCAGTAGAAAAGTTGTGGAATGCTATCTGAAGTTACATGTCAGTGGCCTCTGAAGCTTTTTTCCCCATCCTGATTCACAAGATTCAAAAATCTTTTCATGAGACTTACGAGAAGGTAATGGTATTTTGTTTTCATTAGGTGAAACTGGACGGCACCCGTGGCACTTAAGTATCAGGGCTTGAATGTAGGGTGTTTTATTGTTTCATTCATATCATTCTCGCCTGTTTTTCCTTTTCATTTACATTCTAAAAATAAAACAAGGTGAACAGTTAAGATTGTTAAAGTCTGTTAGTTATTTTCTCAGTCATTTCATGATTTTGTATGTGTTGTAAGTTAGGTTGCATGAAAAAGAACATAAACAGTGCAATTCATAATTGGGTTCTCCCTGAACATTTTCAATGTTTAAAAATAATTGAAAAAACAGTATGATAAATTAATAGGCACAAGGGTTTTCTGTAACATTAGTTTCATTGTTTCTCACTTTGGATTTCAATATATAGTACTGTTTTTAAATTTCCATCAAAATACTTTCAGGTTCACATTCACACTGAACATAACACTTTTATTTCTTGGTATGAGAATCTCAAACATTGAAATACTGTATGTTTTTTTATTGAAAGGCTAGAAGTATTTGGCACTTTATAACTTGGTAAACCAATCAGATCCTTTCTAATAGAATTCCGGTACATTTTAAAATTGATTTTCAGTTGTTTTCTTCCAACCTACAATCAAAAAGGACATGGCCTTTTGTAGTTGGTCACTGCTTTACTGTTAATGACTTAATAGTCCTCCTTTCTTGGCTGTTACTTATCCAGATCCTGTGGGGCCTTTCAGGAAGGACAGGGGAAAGGCTGTGCATATGAGGTTTACTACTGTATACAAAATAAGTTTGGTAATGTATTTCCAATTACTTTGTTTCATCACAGATAACCTAGTCTCCTGTATTTCCAGGTTTTCATCAAGTTGAATACACATATTGTGAGACTGGGCATGCTGTAATTTGATCTTTAAAATAGGCAAGCACAAGAAACAAACAAAGCACAGGCATATGGTAAAAAACATTGCGGTTTATTTATAATGCAGGGAACATGGAACAAAAACCTAAGCTCTTTGAGCCATTAAATAGACTTCTTCCCAAGGGCTGCCTATTATGGGTGGAGCAGTGGCACTGTGGCTAGGGATCTGCGCCTGTGGCTGGAAGGTTGCTGATTTGTATCCCGTGGCCGGCACGGTTCCATATAAATGGCTGACCCTGCGCTCTGACCCCAAGCTTCTCTCCCTGTCTGTGTGTCTCATGGAGAGCAAGCAAGAGTGATCTTATAGGCTTTAAAAGGCCCCCTCTCTGAGACTGACCCACAGCCACATGGTCTGTGATTTCCTTGTTCTTTTGCTAAATGCAGCATACAGACAATCCGTCTTCTGTCCCTCAGACAACAGATCAACCAACATCCTTGGAAGCCTTTTCTTCTAGCTTCAGAAACTGACACCTGACCAGCAGCCACTCATTCCCTACACAGTTATGTGGAATGCGGTCCACAATAAGGGTTGTCGTCTTAATATATATTGTATATACAGGGAGAGGTACTGTATTAGCTTTTACATCAATTGTAATTATTCTTTTTAAAATTCTTAAAAAGACAAGTTTTACAGAGACGTGTTGCTTGGCTACTGTTGGTATTGTGTTTAAGTTTCCTCGAACATTAACCATTAACTGCACAATTTCAGTGGTCACTCAAAATATAAAGTGTGCTCGGTGTTTGAAGAATAGAATGTACCAGTCCATTAAAAGGAGGGCATACCTGAACCAGGCAACTACAGACCAGTAAGTATTTCCTTTCAAATCTCAATCTTACCTTTCAAATCACTTTCAAATCCAATTGTTATTTTAAAAAAGTATTGGGGGAAAATGAACATGGTTTTAGAAAAGGCTATTTTTTTTTACTTGCTAGAATACTTCGAGCAATTAACAGCAGTAATCAAAGCAGAACTCACGATATAGTATGTGTAGGTTTCTAGAAGGTATTTCATAATGTTCTGCAAGGGTCATCCTGGGGCTGAAAGGTGGATTGTAGAAATTGAATGTATACTAAGTGAATGTAGTTTAAGTAGAAAGCTGTGTCAGCATGCGTAGGTTGCAAAGGAACAAGTAAAGGTTTATTACATGTTGAAAGAAGAAGAAAGGAAAAAATGTTTCAGCTGTGACATGTGAAGAAGGCTCCACAGCCAAAACATTGTGTTTACTTTCTTCTCTTTTCAGCATGGAAAAAACCTTTACTTGTTCCTTTGCAACTAAGTGAATGGAATGAGAACTGGTTAATATTTAGGAAATGGAGAGCAGTGGTAAGGAGATATACCTGGTAAATAAAAAGGTGGAGAACCACAGGAACCTGAATCAGGCCTACCCCTCTGACTGACAATGGTAATATTGATCCTAGCATACATAGTAAACTTGGGAAGCTTGTAGATAACAGTTTGTTCAAATCAAGGAATAGTACAGGAGCAAGCCCTTTTGTTAGGTTTACTAATGATCTGCTGATAGATACTGACAGCGGTATGTGTTCTTTTTCTAATTAGTCTTTTTGCTGCCTTTGATATGGTTGATTTTCTGAATCAATAAGCGAGTGCTGTTGTAATGACAGAAACGGCATTGTTGTGGGTTAAATCTTACCTGACAGGATACAGTTTTAAGAATCCATCATTGTTCCACGTCTATAGAATTGGACAAATCTGCCGTCTTGCGTGGCTGTGTTCTTAGTCCCATTCTTTTTAATAATAATAATAATAATAATAATAATTTCTTACACTTATATAGCACTTTTCTGGGTACTTCACTCATAGGGGTTTACGAGTAATGGGGACTCCCCTCTGCCACCACCAATGTGCAGCATCCACTTGTATGATGCGACAGCAGCCATAGTGCGCCAGAACGCTCACCACACATCAGCTATCAGTGGGGAGGAGAGCAGAGTAATGAAGCCAATTCATAGATGGAAATTAGTAGGAGGCCATGATTGGTAAAAGCTGATGGGAAATTTGGCCAGGATGCCGGGGTTACACCTCTACTCTTTTCAAGAAACGCCCTTGGGTTTATGAGTATGGAATATTTTCTGAGTGTTACAATAGTATGACATCAGTCCCTTCATACATACAAATCAGTCTCTTTATACACACTTTCCTGTATTTCCTGTTTTTCTTTCCCTTTATCAAATTAAACTCTGTTTTGACTGAATTAATAGCATTTTGGAACTTTACATATAGCACATTTTCAATTCATGCGGTGAAGCCTTGAACAAATTTACAAATGCTGGTTCTTGTCCTGTTGTGTTCCAAGACCTAGGATTTTTTTCTCCATAGAAGTACTTCCAATTCCGCCGAATAGCAAATATGATCATCAGGAGATATTTTTGGTTTGTGCATTTCATGTTGAAATCAAAAAGATGTTAGGTGACAGAGTATCATCTTTCACATTTACTCTCAGCATCAAAAGGATCCTTCCCCCATTTGAGTCTATTATTTACCTCACACTGTTAGGCTAGAAAGGAAATGCAGTTTGAGAAGGTGTGAAATACTGTATTTGTTAATGTTGTGCAGGGTTTTGAAACTCTTTGCGGCATTGCAAATGTGCAAATGCGTCATTCTAGCTATGGTCTTTTCTAGGATGATCAAAGACATTTTAAGTGCATTAGGTCTAATAAAAAATTCTTAAAGCCACTTCCTATCATCATCCTAGCTCTTCTCTGTACTACTAGTCTTATCTCTGTCCTTCTAAACTGAATGTTCACCCTGTGAACATGCTCTCCCTTGCAAACTTTGTATTCTTGTGTTTTTCTCCACTTCCTCCTTTTTCTCCTCTTATGGGCTAGATGGTGTGAGGAAATGGCACCAGCTGTTTCCAGCTGTCAACCTCTATCATGTTTTTTTCTGCAGTTTTTGACACCCTTTAGTTTGTCTACTAAAACCCTTTACAAGAAGAAGCTATCATACCATATACTGTATACAGTATATCCTTCATCATATCATAGAAGCTATCATGGGTTCAGTTCCAGCAGTGCTATCTGTGTGGAGTTTGAATGTTCTCCCTGTGTCTCTGCGGGTTTCCTCCACAGTCCAAAGGCTTACTAGTGGGAAAATTGGTCCTGGTGTGAGAGTGTGCATGTCTGTATGCGTCTCCTATGGAGTGGTTGTCCCATCCAGGGTGTATCCTGCCTTTTGTCTGCTCCTTGCTAGGATAGGCTCTGGCTCCACTGCGACTCTGTATTGGGTAATTGTGTGAGGTACTTGTTTCTCTCTTTTCTGTGCCTTCTTCCTCGTGTAGAAGCAGCACACACCATGCTGATTAAGCCAAGGCTAAGTTATGTAATGACTCCCTCCCTCAGAATCCATGTTAGTGCTGAACTGCACTCCAGCACAAGCGTAAATGTTGGAATAACTTAAAAAACAGCTTTTCTATACACATTTTGAATCTTTTTTTGAAAAAAAACCCAAAACAATCAATTGACATATGTGCGTTTCAGTTTATACAGTATATATTTAGAAAAATATGTGTTTTAGAACTCATGGTAAACAACTTAAAAATAAAATAAACTTAAAAAATTAAACAATCAACTGAAATTTCTATTAATTTATATATATTAAGAAAGAATGTATTTTTGGACCCATGATAAATAAGAGGGAAGCCATATTGTCTCAAGCAAGTGTAGAGGTATTCTGTTTTCTTCTTCAATATGTAGGAGCCTTCACATAAGAACCTGCAGAACAGCTGCACCTGCAACATCCAGTGCTTTGGAGCTTATTTTGTGCCAGGTAGAGAAATAAAATTCCACTCGTGTCTCAGTGTGTGACAGAAGGGATTTCACTGGTGGAGGCTACAGATGGCATAGTGTTTGCTTGACATAGTCTTGGTCTGACCTTGGAGAAGTAACATCTTTTTCATTGCTGTCCCCTGGTTGGGGGTTTGCTACAGGCAGCTGAGGCATTGTTTGTTGGAAGGTTTCCATGGTCGTATAATCACTAACAAACGGTGCTGTTTCCCTGTGCACACTGGGACCCTGATTGGTTTCTGTGCATCCTATAGTGTAAGTAGTGTTTTCATTATCTTCTTCTTCATTGAGGAGTCCTCGATACAACTCTTCACATTCTTGTGCTACTGGTAAATCACTTTCAGTCAGCATTTCTGTTGCCTCCTCAATAATATGCACACTGTTGGTGTCACTGCCTTCTGTTGGAGGTAAATACAAAGTCACTTTGGGTTCCAAAACATCCTGACAAGGGTGAGAAAACATATTATAGGTCAGTCTCAAAGCAGTGAAGCACATAAACTAAGTACTAAGCACATACATTCTAAGTACTTATTTGTAAAAGCTTCTAAATGAAGAAATGAAACTTCAATGTTCTAAAAAGAAGGGCTACAGATGGCACAGCACTTAGCATTGCTGCCTAACAGTACTAGGGCCCTGGATTCAATTGCAGGGGTCCTATCTGTTTGGAGTTTGTATGTTATCCCCACATTTGTGTGGGTTTCCACCAGGTGCTCCAATCCAAAGACAAAATACAGTAGGTTAATTAGCCTCTGGGAAAATGTTCCCTGGTTTGAGGGTGTGTGTGTGTCCCACAATGGACTGGCATCCTGTCCAGGGTGCCTTAGAATTTCCAGAATAGACTGCAGGTTACCGTGACCCTGGATTGGATAAGCAGTTAATGAATGTGATGTGATGATATGTTCTATAAAAAAATGTACCAAATGAAAGCAAAGTGTGCAGTAAATAGCAATATTAATGAAAGTATATCTTAGTAAATGTTCAGGGAATGCAATTATTGAATCTAATAGATTTGTCAATTAAATTAGGACGTTTTCCTTAGAAAGTACGCACCAGTGCATGGGTGCTATCAATTTTCTGGATGGCATTGCTGTTGCCTGGATTAGGTATATTTGGCCAGAACAATTTCTTTGCCCTGAAAAATGCAAAAAGTACATGTAAAAATGGACTAGAATTAGAATAAACAATGCTCGAGAGATTTAGGAGTTCTCATCTAGACAGTCTGTGGAAAAGAAAAGGCCAACAAAATAAATACAACGGTAAGTAATAAAAAGAAAATACCAAAATGTTCTGATACCTCAAACTGCACTGCTGTAATCGTAGAATTTAATTTGTACCATTTCATGCATTCAAGAGACTACAACTGGATTATTGTGATCAGATCTGGTGACCCCAGTGCAAGAAACATGTTGCTGCTCTAGTTGTAGTACAAAAGAGAGTAAAGCAGATTAATTTTCTAATATGAAGGTGGCAGATCTGTTCAGACAAATTCAATTAAATTAACCTTTTAAGCAAGCAGCTGACTGGATTACATGAGGACATGGTTCAAGTATTCAAAATGCTGAAAATGTTAAATTTGACCAAGACTAAATCAGAGGACATTTTCAAGATCACAAATGTTGCAAAAACCAATGGACACAAGCAGAAAGTATGTTTAAAGTATGTTTAAGAACAATTCATGACAGAAAACAGGAGAAACTTCCACAGATACCATAGGAACTTGATGGAATTTTTGAATCCTTAAGTTTCTATCAACAAAATGAAAAAAGTAGCCACCTCTCATTTGAAACCTTTCTTAACACTATTATTTCCAGTAAACTTATTATTATTAAAAAAACTCTAAGAACCATCAATATTGTTTTGTTATACCTACCCAATTTGTAATACCCAATTGTGTGGCATGACCCAGACTCAAACCCATGACTATAGAGCTCAACCTGTGTGCTGTTATTGATTGAGCCACTTGGGAGGCTCCTACTAATGATAAATATAATGTAATGCATACGGCCTCCATTGCTTGTGAGAGCTGGCTTACCAGAGCGGTGACGTCACCGCCCTTCCTTGTGAATAGCAGGGACCGCAGCCGCCAGGCTGACAGGAGATTTCCCTTTGGCTCAAGAGGCTGGGTCCCTGTTGAGCGACGCAGGAGGCCCATGTTTGAGTCCCCGACGATGGGGGGCCGACCTGATGCGGCAGTGGCGAGGG